TGAGTAGTTCGGTTGCCAGTAGCTTTTGTGGCAACAATTGTTGATGTGGTAGTCCCGGTACTTATGCTGGACGTTGGTTGTTGCTGATTGCTGAATTGCGAAAAAATAACGTGTTGTAGGCACTGTTGAGACAATGCCTGAAGTGGTTGGATGTTGAGTATAAATTGTAGTTGTTGCACGGCTAGTTGGAGCAGATGTCACTACATTGTTGCTCGTAGTTGATTGTTGTGCGGCTATTTGCTGTTGGAATTGTTGCTGGAAGCTACTAATACTACCGCCAGTAGAGACCATCGTGGTCGTTTGGATGGGATGCACCGCGGGACTGGCAGTTGCTGCCACCAAGAAATGTCCTTGCGTCGGCGTGCCACTTCCTCCACCTGTGTTGGCGCTGGTTATCAGTGCTAAGCCGCCACCGCTCGTCGTTACAATACTACTAATCGGAAGCGTAACCATTTCGTGCGGCATTAAAACCCGGGCACCCGATGCTGTAGTGGTAGTGGCAACTGTACTGAGACCCGAACTTGTTGAGTTTATTTGTTGCTGTTGTTGTTGTTGCTGCTGGTGCTGGTGCTGTTGTTGCAACAACTGTTGATACTGTTGATAGTTTATGATACTACTAGCACCGGTTGCACCATTTGTCAGAACAATGGCCTGTCCTGTGGACAACACTATGTTACTTCCAACACCGCTAGCACCAAGACCACCAATATTTGACGCCCCACTGGCACCAACGACAGTTGCAAGACTTGCACCACCGACCTGAGATGTTCCGGCCCCAACACCACTCACGAGACTACCAACAACTATACCTGTGTTGTTGACGTTGCTTCCCGGATTGCCGTTACTGCTGCCATTACCACCGCCATTGATAAGAGTCTTCATGCAAGTAGCCTTATTCTGTTGCAACAACGTGGCCATACCAATGTTGCTGCTATTAGTGATATACATTTGCTCAGTCCTCGTGACTGCTCTCGTTTTTTTGTAGTTTTATTCGACCTTTCGCTTATCACTTGCCTTTACTAGACTAGGTCACTTCCTAGGTTTCTATTTTTTTTGTCAAATATGCAGTGTAGTTCGGTTGATATGCTTGGAAGCTGTTTATTTAGCTTGCTTTTCTTATCATATTATTTGTTTGTAAGTATGGTTACTTTTTCATGCGCTTGTCACAAATTTTGAAAATTTGAATAAGATGTCTTTATTCAATGCGAGGACAAATATTCGTTATAAATTGTTAGATGTTTGCTCTGTTGAATTGCCACTTGCTTGGGTCTCAGTGATACGTGTTTAAAAGCTTTTGGCTTTCTAATATTATACTGAAGTAAATCTTTTGACTGTATGTATGTAGTTCATTCCAAATACTAGAAAAATTAAGTCTTCCTTCCTTTCTCCTTTTGTTGATTCCTCAAATAATTGTTCCTTATTGCAGTCTGAAAACGAGATATTTTTAGGTTAGGAATCAATAGTAAATAAATAGGATAATGAGGAAATGTTATGTACACAACCAGTTAAAAAAAGGTAAATTTATTAATATATCTCCTAATCAGCGACAACCAATAGGAGCGAGACAATTTCAAAAAAATTAAGGAAT